AGGTGGTGGTGGTAAAGGCGCACGTACACCCGATAGGAGGCCAATCGGTTGGATTCACATGGCGTTGGTAGTCTGTCTTCGTCTACTTTGCCGCCGCGCGGGGGATGGAATGATCAGCGACATAACGGCCATTCTCCAAGGTTCTTCGGCAAGGATGTGGAGGGAATATCTGCGTGGGACGGAAACCCTACGATTAGGTCGGGCATGCCCCCCCTACAGGCGGATTTTTGGCAGATTTGTTGTTGCTGCTGCCTATGTTTGAATCTTCGTTCTGTAGAGGGACAGGCCCGACTGCATACCAGGAAGACGTGGCCCTGTGGCTGGAGGGAACCAACTTGGAGGAGAGTTGCTCCTGGGCTGCGAGAGTGGCGAGGTGCCCGACAGGGCCGGCGAAGCCGCTGGCCGAAAGCCCTGCAGTGGAGGCCTGAAGTGGGAAGAGGACGAGGAGACCGAGGAGTACCCTCGAGGCTCCTCCCTCTTTCCTCTCTGGCGGGGGCCATCCTGGGTCCCCTGGGCCCGCTCTCCGAGGCCTCCCGAATGCTCTCGGAGGCCATCGGAAGCAGTCTGGGCCGCGCCGCGCTGGGCGCGCAGCGCGGGCTTCGGCGGAACAGACCGCCCTTGCGCCCCGCAGCGTCGGACCGAGGAGTGGACCGACCCCGACTGGATGCAAAGGCACCAAACACTCGAGGGAGCTGCTGGGTTCCGCGAGGACGGACGAGCCAAGCCGCAACGGATCAATCGTGGCCTCCTGCTGCAAGGCGCTGGCGAGGCGACGGGGCGAGGAGACGAATGCCTGGGTGATCAGATTCGGCGAAGCCAAGCCCCGACTCGAAGAGGAAGAAGTTGGACTACTAGCAATCGTTGCTGGGTGGCGGCTCATAGACAAGACAAGACTCACCGAATACCAGAAGAACATGCTGACGACCGCGACGGGAGGAGCCCTTACCCTGGCGATTGCAGTACCGGCGTTGATCAGGGTCTTCCCCAAGGTGCATCTGACAGAAAGAGGTCCGACAGCGAGGATGCCGTTCAATGAGCGTCGCTGAACCTGGGAATAACAACAACATAAAGAAGCATATATTTGGGAAGTTCAGGGAGGCTAACGTCGCTCAGGGCATGGACGAGCTGGATGGCATGTCGGAAGATGAGGTCGAAGCGTTGGCGGCGGAACTGGACAGTGACACGGACGGCGACACTCAGAATGAAGCCCTGGAGAACGGAAACGATCTCGAGCAGTGTCTCACGAACGAGATGGAAGCTGGAATTGCGATGCTGGATGATGGAGAAGACGAACCGGGGCTAGGCAACGAGCTTGTGAACCTCGAGAGCGGCAAGGAAACGATGATGGAGGGCCTCATCATCACCGTGAGGGAGAGCAATAAGCACGTGATGTAATCCAGCAAGGATCGAAGGTTCGGGTAACCAGGCGCTCGGAGACCAAAGGAGATGGCAATGGTGCAGCCAACAAAGCGAAACATATTCAGAAGGATAAGCAGGAACGACCATGCCACACGTGTGGTGGACTAGCCCATTGGGCTGGCGACACTACCTGTCCCAAGATCGACGAGTGGCGCAAGAAGCAGAAGAAGTTCAGCCAGAAGGCGGCGTTACTCACTGAGAGGACCGATGATGATAACGTCGTCGACATGCTGAAAGACTTGCCTGTCGAGTGCCAGCTGTGCGAGTATGAGGCTCTTCTTGTGGAGGAAATGTTGCTGTCGGAGTCCATCGGCGGGAGAAGGCGACACTGGCACCTTGGACTCGGACTGCAACTCTACGGCTAGTGGCGACGACTGGGTAAGCTATTACCAGAGCAGGTGTAAGAGTTACGGCCTCGAGAAGTACAGTGTGAAATTGGAAGGAACCCCTGCTGTGTGCGTTCAGGTTCGGGAGCGGCGAGAGGATGGTGTCCCGAGAGAAGTGGACCGGACCAGCATCAATATTCAACGTCGACGCAAGGATCAGTTTCTCGGTTCTGACCGATTCTAAGCTGTAGTTGCTGGTCGACAAGGACGCGCACAAGGAGCTCAGCCTGATTTTGAACTTCGAGACGGACGAGGTGAGCTCTCAGAAGCTGGGGATCGAGCAAACAAGGCTCAGATAGACAACGGGGTCCCACCATGCGATCAACGTGATGCCTTTAGCTGGATGGAAGCCTCCGCTGGACGATGGTACAGAAGCTGAGCTGTGGTGGCTTTCAAGCGGAAGGTCTGCGAGGCGTTGATGGTGCTGCGCAGTCCCGAGAAGGAGATCTTAGACGAGAGCTTCATGGCGGAAAGCAGCCTGCTAGATGGTGGTGGTAAGGACCTGGACGAGAGCATGCAGAGTCGGCGGCCCTAAGACGCGATGTCTGGGATATATGACGAAGAATACTACTACGAGGAAGACTACGCGAGCTGGGAGGTGGCAAGCAAGAACGATCAATATCCGGACGAACGAGATGATTAATCACCAACGCTTAAAGATCGGCCGTGGCCTTCCCGCGTTGCCCCGTCGTCGTCTCAAGCTACCCAGGAGCCTGCAGAGGACCCGTCGACCGAGGATGATGATGACGATGATGTTGGTGATGGAGATGCTGATGATGATACTGATGATGCTGGTGATGATGAAGGTGATGCTGCTGATGATGATGGGGATGCCGATGCCGATGACGATGACGATGACGATGCCGATGATGATGATGATGATGATGATGATGATGATGATGATGATGATGATGATGATGATGATGATGATGATGATGATGATGATGATGATGATGAATGATGGTGCTGAATAATGATTATGCTAGTGATGATGAGAATGATGATGATGTTGCTGCTGTTGCTGATGATGATGATGATGATTCTGATGATGAGTACGGCGGTCGGGGAGACCTGCTGGAGTACAGGCCCGGGAAGCTTAAGTTGATGCGACTGCTTCCCATTCTTCGACTCCTAGGCCCCTCCGCTCAACGGTAACTCCCTTTTCGGCGACCCTGGGTGCCAGGACCTTCAGGGTCTCGGCCTGGAGATAAGTTTATATGTAATTCTGTCACTGCTGCCAATTCTTCGAACAATAGACCCCCACCCGCTCAACTAATACCTCTCTTTTCGGCGATCCTGGGTGCGAGGCCCTTCAGAGTCTGGGTCAAGATAGCAGAGAGGCCTGAGAAATTCACCTTATGTGGCTGCTGCCCATTCTTCGATCGATTGACCCCCCCGCTGAGCTGATACCTGCCCTTTCGGCGACCCTGGGCGCCGGTCACTGCAGGGTCTCTCTGTCTGGAGACCATCCAGGCCCGAGAAAGGAAAGTTTATATTTATGTAGCTGCTTCCACTTCTTCGACCGATAGACCCCCCCGCTTAACCAATACCTCCCTTTTCGGCCACCCTGGGTGCCAGGCCCTTCAGGGTCTCGGTCCAGAGATTTTCATGCAGGCCCGAGAAATTCATGTTTGTGTAGCTGCTTTCCATTCTTCGACCGATAGACCCCTGGCTGGGCTAATACATCCCCTTTCGGCGATACGGGTTGCCAGGCACTTCAGGGTCTCGGTCTGGAGATCGTACGGGCCCGAGAAGCTTATATCTATGTGGCTGCTGCATGCTGCCACTTGTCCGGTAGATCCCCCCGTTGAGCTGATGACTCCCCTTTCGGCGATCCTGGGTGCCAGGCCCATCATGGTCTCGGTTGAGAGATGACACAGGCCAGAGAAGCTTGTGTTTATGCTGCTGCCGCTTCTCCTCTACCGATTGACCCCCCCGCCGAGCTGATACCCTCCCTCTCGCCAGCCCTGGATGTCAGGCCCCTCAGGGTGTCGTTCCAAACGGACATCCCCCAGGCCCGAGAATCTTACGCTCAGGTGGCTGCTGCCCATTCTTCGACCGATGGCCCACCCCCTCTGAGGGGGAAAAAGAGGAGGAGGAGGAGCAGCAGCAGTAGCAGCAGCAGGAGGGGGAGGTAGGAGGGGGAAGGGGGGAGGAGGGGCAGGTAGGAGGAGGGGGGAGGAGGAGGAGGAGGAGTAGGAGGAGGAGGAGGAGGAGGAGGAGGAGGAAGAGGAGGAGGAGGAGGAGGAGGAGGAGGAGGAGGAGGAGGGGGGGGAGGAGGATCCCCCCCTCTCGGCGACCCTGGGTGCCGGGCCCTCCAGGGCCCTGGCCCGGGGACGCAGGCCCGAGAGATCCTGTGTGTCTAATGGAAGATGACGATTCATAAATGACCGGGGGTCGTGTTCACGCGGCGGCGCCCGGGATGACGATTAGAAAAAACCGACCGCGGGCTGGAAAACTATTTGTTTTATCGTTCTCCTCCAGTCAGACAATTATGCAGAAATAGCAGAAGACTTTGTTTTAATCGTTCTCTCCTATTTTTTATTAATCGTCATCCCGCATTATGCGGCTGCTTCCCCTCGGGGGCAGCACGCAGCACGCGGCCACCCACACGGGCAGCATGTGCACGCCAAGGGGCCGCACGGCGCTGCCTGGCCAAAAGAGGCCAGCGGCCGCACATGGTGGAGCTCATGCGGTCCCCCGTCGGCGAACCTCGCCATCGCTCGGACGTCCATTTCCTGTGGTTTCTTCGGTTTCGTGCGTGGTTTTTTCGCCAAATGATCAAGGATGCTCCTCATGGTCCTCGCCGAGAAAAATGCACACGTGCGAGCGATGCCAGGACACTGGGTGCCAGGCCCTTCCGAGTCTCGGTCTGGACATCATGATGCAGGAGGTTTAGGCTTCTGCGGCTGCGCTTCCCCTTCTCCGCCGGCTCGACCCCCCGCTGAGCGAATGCCTCCCCCCGTTGTTCGGGGCCCCCCCAAAACGGTGCGGTGACGGACCGCGCGGGGACCTCACCGCGAGGCCCGTCACCGCGCAGGCCTGGGAGCCCGGAGGCCTCAGTTGCCCGAGAGACGCCCTTGGAGAACGACTCGAGCCCCACGACCGCGCGGTGACCCCACAGCCCCACTGACTCTCCGCGCGGTGTGTCACCACACCGCTTGGGGGACCCAGACTTTCGGCGACCCTGGGCGCCGGGCCCTTCAGGGTCTCGGTCCGGAGATCGTACAGGCCCGAGATGAGCACCACGGCGTCGAAGCGGGGGCCGCCCTTCCTCCCCGCCTTGGGCCAGGGGAGCAGAAGCAGCAGCAGCAGCAGCAGCAGGGGAGGGGGGACGCGGAGAAGAAGAAGGACGGGGGGAAAGGAGAGGGGGAGGAGGACCAGGGGGAGGAGGAGGACGAGGGGAGGGGGGCGAGGAGGAGGAGGAGGACGAGGCCGAGGAGGAGAGCTCCTCCTTCTCCTTCTCCTCGTCCTCCTCCCCGTGAGTTAGCAGGTCGGCCCCCGCTGCCAATCCGGAGCTGTACCCCCAGGTCGGCTCCTTGCCGTCCTGGGGGCACGACGGAGTCGTTCCCTCTTGTCCTCCTCTTGCCTCTCGGCAGCTCGAGGGGTGTGGGGATGTGGACGCGCTCGGGCCCCTCGCTCTGGCCCTTCTCCCCCCCCCCCCCGCCTGGCCACCTCCTTTGCGCCGGGTGCCTCGTCTCCCCGCCCCCTCCGTGAGGGCGACGCGACAGGGCAGGAGGAGCAGGAAGTAGAGTCGCTAACGTGCCCGACCCCTTCGCCTTGAGCTGGGGGGAAGCGTTAGTGAAGGGGCCCTGGGACACACAAATAAATACACACAAATAAACATATTTCCCATATTTTCCTATATTTTCTGGGTTTTTGTCGTCCCCCCCACTTCCCATATTTTCCCATATTTTGTGGGAAATCGACGATTAATTGTGTCTGTGTGTTTCTTTCCCTCCTGAGTTAGGGGGGACCAGCTCGGGGGGGGAAGCAACGAGCTGGAATCGGCGATGCATCGCTGATGGACCGGCGGCGTGCCCTCTATAGCAAAGCCGAGCGTTCCTGGGCGGGGTGGGCTATCGGGCCCCTGCTGGCGATGACTGGGCGATTGGGGGTCGATGCATCCTGCCCTGAGCCTACCCCCCCTAAAATTGCCCCTGATAGGCCTGGGCCGTGTCATTAGAAGTGCTGGCTTCTAAGCAGATGGGAAAAAGGGGACTCCACCGAAGGCGACGACGACAAGGAGGACAAGGAGGGGGAGGAGGACGACAAGGAGGACAATGACAATGATGGGGGGGAGGAGGAGCAGGAGCACGAGAAAGAGAATGAGGATACTGTGGAGGAAGACACACTCGCGCGTGGGAATAAATGTCCGACGTCGGCTGCGTTCGGAAGGGTCTGAAGCCCGTGCGAGGCCCAATTTCGGCGAAATCGGCGCGCCCCCCAACAAGAAAACCGACAACAACATCCCCACCATGGAAGCCTGCCGAAATGTCCGTCAACGCCTCGACGTTTTGAAGCAATGCATCCATACTCTGTTGCATGTGCTGAGTGGATAAACATCCCTGGACACAATGTCTCAACACAGTGTTAACCGTCGTGGATCCAAAGCAGTGCGTTGTTGCATTATGGAGGTGACAGCTCTGCGCTGTAACCTGTGTGGTGAAAGCTGTGTGGCGTGAGCCGGTAAGCCGAGAACTGACCGGTGCAAGTTGTGTGGAGTAGGCTCGGTGGTGTGAGCTGGAGGTGAAAGCTATGGGGTGCAAGCCATGCTATGTAACAAGGGTGGTGTCCCTGTGCAGTGCAAGCCACGTGGTGGAGGCTCCGTGGCGGAAGCTCTGTCGCGTAAGCTCAGAGCACGGGGCGCCCAAAGAGGCGGCACGGGCGGCAACGTGGCGCAACCTCGGCACACCCCCAAAGCGAACGGGGCGCCTGCGAAGCGCCCACGAGACGGCACGGGCGGCAACGTGGTGCAACCTCGGCACGCCAACCAAGCGCGGGGCGCCCACGAGGCGCCCACGGGGCGGCAAGGGCCGCAACGTCGTGAGCACCCCGAATGCCAACCGATTGCATGAACGGAAGGAAATCAGAACCCCTGAGAGTGCGAGTACTCTGTGGGGGGCAACGGATCCTGCTGCAAGAACGACAGTGGCACATCTGCCGTCGAGCGTCCGGCTCCCGAAGTTATCCCACTTCTCCTGTGGGCTCCGAGGACTCCCGGGGGAGGGGGTCGGGGGGCTTCTGGGGGGGGGGGGGCACCTGGCCGATTTCTTAGTCGACTCGCCTGCTGTACGCCCAATCGATGGCGCACAGAGTGGTCGTGCTGCTCCCTGTCTGGCTCGGCTGACGCCTTCCTGACACGACTCGACCCCAAACCTGCGACGGCGTGTCTTAAGGAACCGAACTCTATACACCGACGCTTTTTCCGGTCCTGCACTGAACTTTGCACAAGAAAGCGGATCCTGGTTTGTACGGGACCCTGGTGTGTACATGTCTCGTTCCTTCCTCGGGGAAGCAGAGCAACAAGTCTGCGCTACACCACCACGACGTCGTCCCCGACCCTCGCAGAGTCCTGGCATCGAGAGCCAGCCCGCCGCTGGCGATGCATACGCTCCAGTCTCCGATATCTTTCTGCGGCGCAGGCCCCCTGGGCCTCTCGACCCCTCCCCCGCGGCCAGCTCCTCCCCCCGAAGCAGCTGCCGCGGGCCCCGGGGTCCTGCGGAGGCCGCAGATGCGGACCCGCGCCAGCGAGCTGCTCCTCGAGCCGCCAGGGGTCCGAGCACGCCGCTCGGCCCGAGGGGGCGGAGTGGGGGCAGGGAGCACCGCTTCGATCCCCGCGATTCGATTCGACTTCGATGGCTTCCGATTCGATGCGACTTCGATGGCTTCCGATTCGATGCGATCCGACGTCGGATACCGACCCGGATTCCGATCTCTCCACGGAGGCCCCCTGGCCTGCCGACTTCCGCCGATTCGACTTTGGGGGCAGGAAGGAAAGCCCGACCTCTGGCGCCACGCTGGTTGTCTGTGCGCTGCGCCCCCTTCCCCCCCACCCTGGCTGGCGGCCAGAGTGGGCAGTGGGCGGCCGCAGCAGGGGCATGGAGCGAACGTTGAGAAGTCGCCGAGATGCGGTTAACTGTGGGGCGCAAAATAAAGGCTTCCTAGATGGGGTCGGAGTAGATGGGGTCGGAGGATCGCGCCGCATCGCCGATGCATCGGCGATGCACGGGCGATGCATCGGCGATGCATCGGCGACGTCGGCGATGCATCGGCGACGTGCGAGTGAAGCAAACCAGGCTGCACATCGATCCGCATCTGCGATGCATCGGCGATGCGGCGCGATCCTCCGACCCTATCTACGCGGACCCCGTCTAAGAGGCCTAGAGGTATGGAGCAAACGTTGAGAAATCGCCGAGATGCGGTTAATAGTGGGGCGCAAACAAATACCGATACCACTACTCTCCGGGCATCGCCGGGGGTGCGTTCGGACCCGGAGTTTTCGAGGCGAGTCCAGCAGCCGCGACGAGGGAATGGCAGAGGCGGCAGTATCCTTCCACCCGCGGATGACTGCAGCTCGTGTTCAGGCATATTTTCACCAATGCTGGGCTAACGGCGATGTTGCTTAAACGTGATGCTGGGAGCCAAAGTGTAGGACATCACGAACCACACTTTCCTGCATTTCCCATCTGCGAGTGGATCGGGCAAGCACGGCAACGCGAAGTGCAAGAAAGCGCGAACCGCGCGTTCCCGCAATACCGAAACCTGCATCGCCGTGACCTGCACCGCCGTTCGCCCGTCTACGGCTCCACGACTGCGAGGAGGAGGCGCGGAATCCCGCCGAGAGCTGATCCTCAGCGTGTGCCAGCGCCAGCGTGTGCCTGCCCGCCGAAGCCCTTCGATGCGACGCAGGCGTTGCAGTGAGGGCCGACGCAGGCTGCGCGCGCTACTGGCGGCGCTGAACGGGGTGACCACGCGTTGGGCAGTTTTGTTGGTCGCAACGGTGGCTATCGCCGATCACACACACACATTCACGCATACACACTTTTTTCTGGTCGGCGGGGCGAGAGCGAACCTCTTCCGCTAAAAGCTAGGCGGGCTACGTACAGCTCGAATTAGGGAGACAGGGCACAGGCGGGCGGGGCCTCAGGCAGCCGGAGAGGGCGGGGCCCGGGGTGCAACACGCATACACACACACACCACGTTCGAAGCCTGATCGGGGGCACTGCTGGGCGGAATGCGCGCAAACTGGCGGGGGACAGAAGAGGGCGGCGGCCGAGGAGGGGATCGAAAGGTGGCGCACTCGGACCATGAAGGACTTCATGAGCGGTTTTTTTTGTAGTAGCAAACCGCAACCGCCCAACATCTTCCACAGCTCTGATGTAGCATTGAGTCCGCATCCCCTCAATGGGGGCTTTGACGGCACCCATCGTCAAGGCCAGAAACGCGACGACACGCAACGAAAATGTCACGAACATCGGCCCGCTAATGTGAGCGAGCGCACGGAGGAGGAGGAAGAGGAGGAGGAGGAAGAGGAAGAAGAAGAGGAGGAGGAGGAGGAGGAGGAGGAGGAAGAGGAAGAAGAGGAGGAGGAAGAGGAGGAGGAAGAGGAAGAAGAAGAGGAGGAGGAGCAGTGTGGCGGCCTCGGGCTCAGCAGGCGATGGCCAGGAAGCTCTGCGGCGGCGCCTCGCGGCGTCGGCCCCGGCGAAAACGCCGTGCCCCTTGGGCGGGCAGCGCGTCGCTCCGCTCCGCGGGGCAGGAGGTTAGGGCATGCTCAGGACGTTCAGCGAGCGAGGAACGGTATAAAAGAAACTTTTTCGCTGTCGGGGGCGCCTGTCCCTGGGCGGCTGGAAAGTTTATACCCTTACGGTGCCACTGGAAGGGTATAAACTTTCCAGCCGCCCAGGGACAGGCGCCCCCGACAGCGAAACACTTTATGTTATACCGTTCTTCGCCCGTTAAGACGTGGACGCTCGGACAGCGTGCCGCTCCGCAGCGTGGTGGGCCAGAACCGGCGGCGCGAAGCGCTGAGCCAACGCTCCCGACCGCAAGCCCAGACATGTGCGGTCTTGCCTTTTTCAGTGCGGGATCCCCGGAAATCCCGACCCCTTCCCCGGGGCTGGCTTTTCATCCCGAGTCGCTCTGGACGTTCCCGGAGGGCCTGGCGTTGGCCCCATCGAGGCCGAAAACTGCCCAAACTTCCCGTCGGGATTGCGTCACGCCACAAACATAAGCTTTGGGCACTCCGCGCGGATCTCTTGGATTTGCGTTGGATTTCCCTCCTTGGCGCGGGGAGCGCGCCAGTGGCGGCGCCGGAGGCGCCGCTGGGGGGCCCAGCGCGAATCCAAGAAACCCGCGCGAAGCGCCAAAAGTTTATGTTCATGGCGTTCTTTCTTCGAGGGACAGCACACGCCCTGAGGCTCATCGAGCCGAGGGCCCGCCTGGGCCGGCCCGCCGCGCCCGGTGAGCAGGCTTAAGTCGGGCGTGTCTCTTTACAGGAGGAATATTCGAAAAAGTCACAACATAATATGAGCACGATTCTTCGATTGTATCTTTCTGACTAGGTTTGAATATCATTTGGACTATTTTGAATTTTTCGTGCAAAATCCGCCTGTAGGAGGACATGCCCGACCTAAGAGTAGGCTGGCTGGCCGCCTCGCACTGCGCCAGGGCGAGCAGCGCGGCCACGTGCCCGCCCGAGGAGTACCCGCACAGCACGAGGCGGCCGTCGCTCCCGAGGAGCTCCCTGCTCCTCCTCCTCCTCCCCCTCCTCCTCCTCCTCCTCCTCCTCCTCCTCCTCCTCCACCTCCACCTCCTCCTCCTCCTTTTTCTCCTCCTCCTCCTCCTTCTCCTCCTCCTCTTTCCTCCTCCTCCTCCTCCTCCTCCTCCTCCTCATCCCCCTCCTCCTCCCTCCTCCTCATCCTTCTTCTCCTCCTCCTCCTACTCCTCCTCCTTCTTCTTCTTCTTCTTCTCCTCCTCCTCCTCCTCCTAGTAACCATTTCGCGTAGGCATTTGGCCGCCCGGTTGCTTAACTCCTCTTTTGACCCCTCGCACGTTTTACGATGCCAGTTCTTGCACGTCGGATTGGGATGCGAAACAAGTCACCGACTACGGGCGCGCCGTGCATTTGGTGGTCGGCAAAGCTGCTAACCCTGGTATCCTGAAGGTCAGCATCTTTCTGCACGCGCCGGAAGACAACCATACTCCAGAAACGCAACTAAGGAAGAAATTCGAACAGGTCACCCGGGGTACGGGGGGTGCTGCTGCCGGAAACAGAGGCCTCCTACGAGTAGACTCAAGTTGGGCATGTCCTCCTACAGGAGAACATTCGACGAAACATCAAGGAATCCTCAAACGAACATTCAAAACATATTCAACAATGATAGAACCAATCGTCCCCACACTATGCTTTTGCTATTTTGAACACTCCTCCTGTAAAGGGACAGGCCCGACTTAAGAGTAGATGGGATCGGAGGACCGCGCCGTATCGGCGATGTACAGTGGATGCCAGTCCACAAGAAACCTTCCACGAGAAACCCGACCCTGAGACCCCAGGGCGTCCACTGATGTTTGGTGTGGGAACGTCACGCTTTCCATGGCAGAACCATCGAAACCCTAGAAACTCAGGGCACCCTGGAGGCGAGCACGGTGTTTCTTGGCATGGGTCTCCACTGTATCGGCGATGCATCGGCGATGCATCGGCGACGTCGGCGGTGCATCGGCGACGCCGTATCGAGCCGCATCGCCGATGCATCGGCGATGTGACGCGATCCTCCGACCCCATCGGCTCGGACCCCATCTGGGAGTCGTAGAGGAACACACCGAGCATCGAGCGGGGGAGGGGGTGGCCTGTTCCCCTCGGCCCAGGCCGCGGCCCCCTCGGCCGCGCGCCGGTAATCTCGCGGGCCCTCGCCGCCGCAGCCGCTGGCCACTGCCTGGGCCACACCTGGGCGCTTGCCGCCCGAGCGCACTCTGGGGGCGGGCGATCCGGGCGCACGCTGCCGGGCAGCAGGGGGGGCACTCCTCCCTCCTCGTCGACCTCCTCCTCCTCCTCCTCCTCCTGCTCTCCCTCATCTTTTTCCTCCACTCCTTCCTCCTTCTCCTCCTCCTCCTCGCCTTCCTCCTCCTCCTCGCCTTCCTCATCCTCCTCCACCTCCTCCTCCTCGCCTTCCTCCTCCTCCTCCTCGCCTTCCTCCTCCTCGCCTTCCTCCTCCTCCTCCTCCTTCTCCTCCTCCTCCTCCACCTTCTCATCCCCCTCCTCCTCCTGCTCCTCCTCCTCCGCCTCCTCTTCCTCCTCCTCCTCCTCCTCCTGCTCCTCCTCGGCTCCCTCCTCCTCCTCCTCCTCCTCCTCCTCCTTCTCCACCCAGCGAAGGCCTTCCGCTTCGTGGAGGCACTCCGGAGAAATGCCCAGATCGAGTCGGCACAATCATGTTTTCCGGGAGGCTGTGAGACCACGCGTGGCAACGGCACCTGCACTTGGGGCTCCTTCGACGACCGGCACAGGATTAATGTTGCCTACGCAAGGAGCAAGTCGGGCGTCCTGCTGCCGCGGCCTTCGTCCCAGGCCGACCTGCCGCTGCGCCGCAGTGTCCTCGGCCACCAACTTTCGCCCGACGTCCGCAAGCTCGGGCGTTCAGGCGCGCCAGCGGCTGCTTCGGGGCCGCATCCTCGATTTCGTGTGTCGCGAGCAAGCCCCGTGCTCCTCCGACGGCCCTGCCGGCGGCGCATGCGGCTTCGGAGCCTCGCACACCCCGGGCATGACAATTTTCGCCCGAAGGGCCACGCCGAGCTCCGGGCACGACCGCCGCCGCAGCGCACCGCCTCCCCGTATTCCTGTGTGACGAGAAGCAAGTTCACACTACGACACGAAAGTGAGGTAGACGTGGCTTGATCTGACATTGTTTCCCGTGTCTTTGCCATCGACCTCGCGATCATGTACCTCAGCGTTGTGCGCCGGTCTGCGTCTGATACTATCAGCCCGTACCATAAGGATGCGCGGTAAGGGTGCAAGGGCCTTGGAATTCCATGTCGACACTTTGCGAGCGGGGCGCGGCCAGCGAAATCGGCCAAGGATGGGCCGAAGGGGCAAGGATGCAAGGGTGCGTTGGAAGGTTGCCCATCCTTGTTGTGCGGGTTGACTGTGTACCTTTTGGTCACCTCCTGCTCCAGTGCACCGGCACCCTGTCGGTCGTCACAGGCGGCATGTTCTTGGCGTGTCCTGACTGCCGCGCCTCTAGTCTCTGCGGCCCCTTTACCCTGGACCTGTGGCCCCATGAACCACCACGGCCCTGTGGCACTCGCTCCTGATACCTGTACGATGGCACAGCGCTGCACTTCGTCTCAGCGTCGCTCTCCTCGCTCTCCCTGATCCCTGAAGCAGCTTCGTTGCAAGGCGCGTCAACTCTCGCCGCCAACTCGAGGCTGGTGTAAAATGATGAGCCGTTGACGGCAGCACCAGCCACAACATTTTGCTTCGACCGGTACTCCGCCACCGGGTTCATAGAAAAGGCGCTCCTTTGCAAGTACGTCGGCTTCGGCACCGCCTGATTCCGAGGCTTTGCCTCCTCCTGGCCTCGTTCTGAGGCTGTGCCCCCCTTTTCCTCCCCCATCTCTGGTTAATTCAAGCTTCGCGCGGCCCGCTTAGCTTCGACCGGAAGAGGTGTGCTCTCGACCCGCGAATCAAAAAAGTGTATCTTTTGGTCTGTAGCTCAGCCCAGCTGGAGCATTGGCCCAAAGCTTGTGATTGCAAACTCGGCTCCGTGCCCCACCGCGGCGCGACCCCTGGCGGGCTCGGACTCCAATGTCGCGGGACTCTACAAGGGGGCACCACGCCGGCCCTTCCGTGGTCATTACGCCGGCCGACCAGCGCAGCGGAGGGGAGCTTTGCTCCTGACCTCGTGGCCACCCCTGGAGCCCGGGAGAGGCCATCGCATCGACGCACCTTCGAGGAGGCCGTCGAGGCCGGGGTGACTTCCCCCGAGGTGGGCAGTCAAGGACAGCAGCTGCCCTAAGTTGTGGTTTGTCTGGCGAGGCAGAGAGAGGGCCCAGCGCCGCCCGAGCCTGCTCCGACCCGGGCTGCGACTTGATCAGCTCCTGCAACTGGTTCTTCATGGCCGAGCCCACCACCGCACTGCTGCGCCCGCCAACGCCGCGGCCTGCGGCCGCCTCGGGCGGAGCCTTGCTGCTGAAGGGGGCCCCGCACAAGCACGTGTTGCCATACTGCTCTCGAGCTTAAACACCCATGGCCAATGTGGGCACGCACTGCACAACGCCTTCTTCTTCCGCCCGTCCCCGGGCGGGTGAACCCTCGCCGCCGCGCGGCTGCTGCCGTCGTCCTCGGCGTGCCGTCGCAGGGATCCCTGGACTCACGCCTGGCCTGGGGAGGCTGGGGCCAGGACGGCTGGGAGGAGGACGCAGGACGAGGAGGAGAAGGAGGAGGAGGAGGATGAGGAGGAGGAGGGAAACGAGGAGGAGGAGGAGGAGGAGGAGGAGG